ATGACTGTAGAGTGTTCCCATGGTTTGTGCTATAATTCAGCAACATTTTCTGTATTGTTAGATAGTTTAGATGTTTCAGTAGATCTTATACTTTATTCTTGGCCATTTTCATTTCTGTTAACATTCAGTTTTGGTTTTAATCTTAACCAATATTGGGCAGATGCTTTTCTTAGGAATTTATCTTGTTTGATGACAGGCCACAGACATGTAGTATACATTCCATTCCATTCAAGATGTTTTTTAAGGGCCTGCCATGTGCTAAATTCTGTCTTAGATTTTGGGAATACAGAGATGAACAAAGTTCTGGGCCTGTAGCTCTGCCTTCCAGGGGATTGCAAAGAGAAATTCCAGCTGATTGTGGTAAACAGAAAAGGAAGTGCCCACATATTGGTATTGTATGGAAAAATAACTTTAGAGAGAAGAAAGGACATGCTTCAGCTGGGTGTAGGATTGCAGAGTAGTTCACTGGGCAGCTTGTTGGAGTGGGGTTCCAGATTGATAATGTGTCATGTGCAAAGACACTGAGTCAACAATTTGACACATCCAGGCTTCTGACAGTCTTTGAGGAGTGCAGCATATGGAGTCAGAACCTGAGGTGATCTGGGAGCTGTTAAGCATTTATGTATTTTAGAAATATGGCTTTGAGAGGGATGAAGTTGAGATGAGAAGTCAGATATGTGACTACTAAAGGAGTGTGGTAGACATGGGAAAGTAAGGAGCTGTTATTGGCAGGCCTGGGGATTGATTGGGTTGAGAATGAACATCTGAGGTTGAACTGCAGCCTTTTAGTGTGGATGGTCCAGTGGATGCTGTAGCTACCATCAGATAATACTGGAAATAGAGGGGGATGCTGGGCTCTGTTTAGGGACTTGATGGAATTGAAGAGAGCAGACAGGTTCTTCACTGAGGGATCTGGGTTTGGGTGAGGGGTCTGCAGCAGAGAGGTGAACTTGGTGCCTTGGAGAGACACATGAAAGGCAAGTGGTGAAATCTTGTAGTGAATATGTGTGGGGCAAGAATAGGATTGTGCACGGGGGAAACCATGCTTTGGAGTCCTAAGCTGTGTGGGGGGGGGGATTTAGAATAGCAAGGACTGTCGGGAGGAGTGGCTCTCAGTGTCCCAAGCATGGTGCATGGTCTGAGTGCAGGGAGAGGGCATCCTGGCCATCATGCAGGGGAGGGCCAGTGGGGAGAGAGGCCTGGGAAGGAAACACAGGTCCTTAGAGGCACTGTGGGTTTAGAGAGGACCTAAGGAGGGGGAGATGACACTCAGAGTCCCAATTTAGGGAGAGTACCTGAGGGGCTTGAGGAAGATGGCCCCTCTCCAGAAACCTGGGAAGGAGGAATGATGGAAGGATTGGGCTCCATCCCTTTGGCCATGGCAGAAGTGGCGTGAGTAAAAGATATTCAGTGCCTTAAAGCCTGCCAGATGAGTTGTGTAAATGGAAACTGGGCACCTGTAACTTCCTGTCAGGACAGTAGGGACAATAAGCGCATCTGCAGTACTTATGGGCAAGCCTTGCTCTTAGAGCTTCACACATTGGGTTACATATATTCCTCATAGTAATCCAGTGAGGAAAATAATGTTATACCCAGGCAACAGATGAAGACACTGAGCTACGGAGAGAGTAACTTGCCCTAGACCTTATAATAGTAGGCAGAGGAGCTGAATGCAAGTGTGGGGCTGCAGGTGCGTGTTCCTGTAGCCCTCCTGAGCTTCCCCCAGGTGACTGAAGAGCAAGCAAACCCACCACTGCATGGCAGTAATGGTAGGAGCAAGGAGGTTCCCAGAGCCACTCCTGTCCTTGCTTGATACCCCTGGCCTGTAAGTGGCGAATGAGCATCATCTGATGGACCAGTCAGTGTCCTACAGGAAACCAGAAACCACTGTACTTAATTCAGGCAGAGAGGGCTTTAATACAGGGATTGCCTGGAAAGGTGTTGGAAGGCTGGAGGACACCAAAGTCAGAAGGAAGTGTTCTCCAAAGATCACAAAACCACTGTCAGTCCTGAGCTGAACCATGTCTGTGCCACAAAGCTGTGGACATGCCATGGCTTCTGCCATGTAGAAACCTGGGATCCTGGACACCCACTGCTGCTCCTGCTGTCGCTTGTAGGCACCCTCAACACCCTCATTGCCTGCTGCCATCGCTCTTGTTAGAAGCTCTACCAAGTCAGGGAATAGACAAATTTCCTTCTCCGGTCTTCACCAGCACATCCCAGGACCACAGGCTAAGAGGCAAGAGGGTCTGGGAAATGTGTTTGACAGGCTAATGGCCCAAAGGCAGAGTAGGACCAAGAGCTGTCAGTGCTACCCAGCTCATCAGCAGAGTGTTCAGAGGCCAGAATCTGGATTCTTACTCTCAGCATGGTCAACTTGGCTCCATGGAGGCCCATCTTGGTGTGATTTGAGTGCCATTCTGGTTATGAAAACTCAGACATCTCAGAAACTTCAGTTTTATATGTATACTGGCTGTAGGCCGTCCACTGCTTCCACCATTTGGCTGACACATGCCAGGTAACCACAAAGTTGTGGTGTTTGAAAATTTTCCCAGTCTCAGTTGTTCTAATTGCTCATTTAAGAATCCAGTAGATTCTTCAGCAAGGGTTTCCTAATAAGGTCTTTGGCACTATTTTTTAAAAACTACTCAAACAATGATACACAGGGACAAAAATTATTGCAGTCTAGAACTGGTAAAAATCTTGCTACACAGTTACAATTGGAGTTGAGGGGGAGCTTGTTTACAGTAGCAAGGAAAAAAGAAAGAAGAAAAAGAAAAAAGAAATACTTGTTGCCTTGAAGGTTTTTTTCCTTTTTAAAAAAATATTTTGGTGCTGAGGACCAAACCCGGGGCCTCATGCTTGCTAGGCAAGCTCTCTACTACTGAGCTAAATCCCCAACCCCAGAAATACTTGAATGTTAGTTTGGTTTAAGATAAGATTTTTTTTCCAAAGAAAATGGCAAAACTCTAATGGGGAAAAATAAAGTAAACAATGAAATATAACTTTAGTATATTTAGTCTGTCAGTCAAGAAAAGCTAAATACAGTAAGTACATTATCTCTTACTATATAAATTTATCATTTTAACTGGTGCCTATATTAGCTATAATATAACTGTGCTTTTAATTAACAATCTCTTAAGAAGTTCTGTTCCTGGCCAGGGATTTAGCTCAGTGGCACCACACCTGCCTCGAAAGTGCAAGGTCCTGAGTTCAATCCTTGGTACAAAAACAAGACAAAACAAAAAAAAGCTGTGTTCCTTGCTTCTACCAAGTCCAGAGGTGGAATAGCAGCTCTGCCCTAGGAGGCTGTCCGGGCTCTTTCATTCTTATTGTTCTACTATCCCTTTGACACAGTCCCTTTCCCTCCATGTGGTCTGAAGTGGCTCCTCATGTCTCTTTATTCTGTCAGCAGGAAGGAAGATGAAGGAGAAGGGAGAATGTGCCAAAGGATGCACCCAGGGAATTGCAAGTGGGCTTCTGCTCCGAGCCTGTTGGTTAGAAGTTAGTCACCGGGCCATACCTATCCCCAAGGGACTCTGAGAAATGTAATCTCTGTTCCCTGAGGCCAAGTGCCCTACTAAAAATCCTGAGTTTGCCAGGGATTTAGCTCAGTGGTTCCAGTGCCTGCCTTGCAAGTACAAGGTCCCGAGTTCGATCCCTGGTACAAAATAAATAAGTAGATAGATAGATAGATAGATAGATAGATAGATAGATATCCTGAGTTCTACTGGGAGAAAGGAGGAAATTGATAAGGGGGGAAATGTACCAATTCCTACCATAATTTCCTTTGGAATATTATTTAGAACTTGAAAAATTGATACTAAAACTAATTCAGAAGTGTAAATAGGAGCCAGGGATGTAGCCCAGTGCAAAGGCTGGCCTAGCATTTGGGAGACCTTGCCCTGCAAAAAAATAAAAATTTTAAAAGTACGTAAATATACCCATGAATATATGATTTTTAAGGAAAATTTCTTTTTTTCTTGATTTTTTTGGTTTTTTTGTGGGGAAGACAAGGTCTCACTGTGTAGTTTGGTCTGGCCTCGAACTTATGGCAATCCTCCTGCTTCAGCCTCCTGAGGGCTGGGATTACAGACGTGTGCCACCATGCCCAGCTACTATTGTTTTTTTAAATTTTATTGGTACATTTTAGGTATACAATATAATGACCAGCTGTTTCTAATATAACTCTTTCTAAACCTTTTTATTATGGGAAATTTAAAATATACACAAAAGTGAAGCAAATCATTGAATAGACCCTGTGTGCCCATCTCACGGATTCAAGTTGCCAGTTGAAAGCTAGTCTTGTCTCAGCTCTTTCCCCTGGACTTCACTTTTCCCTTCCTGGTTGTTTTGAAGCAGATTTTTCACCTGTACATATTTCTGAATATATCTCTAAAAGGTAAAGGGTCTTTCAAAAAATTAAATAGAGTCACATGCAATTGTAAGAAATAATTCAGAGAAGTGTTCTGTACCCCTTACTCAATTTTCTGCAATGGTAGCCTCTTGCAGAAACTCTAGGGCTGTATCACAACTGAGATGTTGCCATGGATATAGTCAAGATACATAAAACGTTTCAATCACTACAGGATCTCTCATGATGTCCTTCTATGGCCACATCTTCCTCCCTCCTTCCTTTATAACCCCTGTCACCTAATAGTCTGTTCTCTGTTTCTATAATTTTGTCATTTCAAGAATGTTAGGAATCCTATAATATGTAAGCTTTTAGTATCAGCTCAGCATAATTCCTTTTAGTTTCATCCAAGATGTGTGTATCAGGAGTTCATTCTTTGGCTGGAAATGTAGCTGAGTGGTAGAGTGCTTGCCTAGCATGCACCAGACTCTGGGTTAGAGCTCCCGTGTCACAGAAAACAAAAAAGTTTCATTGCCAAGTAGTAATCCATGCTATATTTGTATCAGAATAAAGTGTCTCTTAAAAGCATAATCACCTAAGGCTTCCCTCTTTTTTCCCTTGCTATCCTCTTCCCCTCTCTTCACAGCAACGCTAAATGATAACAGTTCTGTGAAACTGAGAATCGATTGCTCAAGGCCTTCCCTGCAATGGTACATCTGTGCTCAGAACAAGATGAGAAGACCTAGCTTGCTGTTAAAAGACATCCTCAAGTATGTACCAGCCCTGGGGCCCTAAGATCATCCCTGGTTAGGTCAATGGTATAGAATCCCAAGAAAAAAATTCACTGAGAGCCCTGCAGATGGCAGGTGCTAGAGAAGTATACTTAGTCAGAGGATCACAGATAAACAAGTATACGCACCTGGTCTCTGTACCTGAGCCAGGATGCATAGGACAGCAACATACAGCTCCATGCTCTTCTTGCCTCTATTTAGCAAAAGAGGGCTTTCTCCCTTAGCTATTTTAAGCTAATCTATAAACGTGATTAAAGTCCCTAAGGACACTTGAATACCATTAAATAGTGAACACTAAGAAGGATGGACGTTTCAGCCAGGTTACTCTCATATCCTTATAACTTGTAGAATTAGTAGAGGTACTTATCTGGCTTTTTGTTTATACCAGCCAAACTAAGTTGAAAATTCTAAAGATAACTCAATATAGCAAATCTTTAGGAAGAAAAGATATAAATCCAACCCTGATGACTTTACTAATTTAGGAGATGTAGAAGGGAAAGATGAGAAAAAGAAATGCATGTTAATAAAGGCCTCCTTTTAGTAACTGGCCAGTATTCATGGACGCCTGCAGTCTGCCTGACATTGTCTCAAGTGCCAGCCACATGACTGCAGTAAGATGGACCTTGGCCTCATCTACTTGTGATGTGGGCATAGAGACTCACCCTAAGACACACGAGTTGTGCACACATGCTGTGAACACTGGCTCACTTTTTACACCCTTTTCTTAAAGAATCAAAACAAGGGAAGTATTACATGCACTAAATATAAAATACCAGGGGCTGGAGAGACGAATAGGTACTACTGAGTCCTCATGATTCAAGATTGCAAAAATATTTAAGGGACTCAGCAAAATGTCTTCTCCCTACTTCCCACATTTTCCTTCCACTTTTCTGGAGAGGAGGTGCCACTGGGGATTGAACCCAGGGCCTTTGCACTGAGCTACAGCCAAGCCCTTTTAGTAATTTTAATTTTTTTAATTTATTTTTTCTATAAGTGACTTTTTTTTTTTGAGACAGAGTCTTGCTAAGTTGCTAAGCCTGGACTTGAACTTGTGATCCTCCTGCCTCAGCCTTCTAGAGTTTGGATTACAGGCATGTGCCAACATACCCAGATATCCCTTCCACTCTTTTTTATTTAAATTCTATTTTATTTTTTATTTTTTGAGATAAGGTCTCACTTTGTAGTTCAGGCTGGCCTTGAACTCACTGTGTAGCCCAGGATGGTCTCAAACTTGCAGCGATCTTCCTGCTTCTGTATTTTGAGTCCTGAGATCACACGTGTACACAACCACACCCAGATGTCCTGTCCACTCTTAAAGATGACTAATGTTACCAGTTTCTTGTGTATATAAGAAATACTTTGTGTATGGGTGTGCATGTGTCCTCTCCCCACTCAGCCAACCCATTTTTATATATAAATGGTAGCTATTCTGTTCACTTAATAGTATGGTATACTCAAGCCCAGAGAAAAATTAAGATGTGAGAGAGCCTATTAAAATAAGAATTCAGATGTCTTTTTATAGGAGAGTTGGGGATGAGACAGGGTCTTGCTATGTAGTCCAACCTGGCCTTGAACTCACTATGTAACCCAACCTGGCCTCAGACTCCCAGCCATCCTCCTGCCTCAGCCTCCTGAGTGCTGGGATCACAGGTGTGCACCACCACGCCCAGCCAGAAGTTTTGAGAATACTCCCACCCACTTTCCCTTACATCCTCCTTCTCAAATCTTCAGTATTTAGCATGAGTTATGGGAAGAATATTGTGCTAGCTGCTTTATTTTTTAAAACTTCCCCTTTCTTTAGAAAATATACTCCCCTTACAATTATTCCTTGCCTTTTTTCCCCCCAAGAACATAGAATACTTAAAGCAGAGGTTATTGAACTGTGGTTTAAACTTTTTTTAACCGTTAGTTTGTATTACTGGGGAGCTTAATAAAAATGAGATTTCTAGAACCGTCACTAGCCTCAGCTGTTTTCTCCAAATCCTGTGTGTATGTGTACACCCAAGTGTGTTAAATGGTGTAAGTGTAAATGATCAGATCTTTGAAAAGAGGCTTTTTAGATGGTCTTCAGGATAACTGGTAGTACTGTCTCACTTCAGTCAGTCTCATTTCTAGATAGAAATCTTTAGAAATACTACAAGTAGATTGTTTCTTTTGTGTTCTTCTTTTTTTTTTAATAAAGACTAGTAGTATTTTAAAGAAGCAAAAAAGTTAAACCTGAGATTCTGTAGTTCAAATCTATTACTTGCTCTTTTTCAGCCCAGTAATCTGCATTGTGATTTAGATTTTATTATGATACCTTTGCAAATAAAAGTTTATCCTGTATTTCCTTAGAGTCATAAATTATTAATTCATCTTGCCAGGAAATGGCACCTTTTTTTTACCCTGAGGTAACCTTAATTATTATAACTTCATGCTACATGGCAGGCAAACTCTTTGGGTTTGTTTTCCACTTATTTCACATTTTTTCTCCTATTATCACATGACTGCCTTATTATACATGATGATATTTTTTCCAGATGTATGTTGCTTGTGTTTGGAGTGTGGATCCTTTATATCCTCAAGTTAAATTACATCTCTGAAGAATGTGACATGAAAGAAAAGCATTTTGTGGACCCTGACCGCATAAAGGTTAGATATTCCATTGATGTGGTTTAAGTTAAAACATTTCCAAGCATACATTTAAGCTGTAGTATCATCTCTAATGCGTTACAAGGAGACGTTAATGAAAGTTTGAAACAGAAGGGAAAATACCATACTTAACCTGAGCACTCCCAAACCAAAGACATCCTTTTCCCCCAAATACGGCCAACTGACTCATCTCCCCTGTGTATTACCCACCCATTTACACCGCTGAGGTCTGGGGTGATACCAGTTCCACTCGGCATGCACATGGAGTTCATTTGCCCTGATGCTGCTTGTCATATTCTTAGGCAATGAAGAAATTCTCTTCATATCACTTGTCATTCCTGAGTTGTATTTTTAATTTTAATGATTTCACATTGTATTTTCAAGATTTTTCTTTCAGTTGACAATCATTTTTCTACACTGATTTAACATGTTAAATGCAAATTTCACCGATGACTGATCATTCAACAATGTTCAGCTCAGGATGAAAGAAAAGATGATTTTAAATAAGTTAGTGTGTTAGGAATAATAACTGCCATGTGGAGATGCTGTACATATATGTTCTCTCTTAATCATCGTGACCAGAGACATCTCAGTGTCATCCCTGTCATGCAGACAGTGGCCTGGAAAGGTGGGCTACTTGCTCAAGTCCACACACAGTTTAATTCACTATTTTAGTTCACCTGCTAGTGCTTGCTGTATACCAGGAACTATCTTAGAGGTATAGTAGTGATATGAAGTCATTGAACTCTCCTGGTTCTTCTGGAGTTAGAGGTGTGCAATCAGCTCCACCTCATAGCTGAGGCAACGGAGGGCCTAGGGATGAAGTCCTGGTCCCAAGGTTACATGGTGGGGTCAGGGCCAGAGGAGGGTCCGTGGTGTGGCTTCTTCGGAGGCTGAGCTCCTGATCCATCTTCTTGGAGAAGCCAGAAGGTAGCGTGCTGCAGAGAGGAGTGAGCTTAATTGTTCACCATGGAACCACACACAGTGACCAAGTTGCTTGGAGTCCCTGTTCTCTCCTATGTGAGATGTAGACAACAGCATCTGTGTAACAGGGTAACCCTAAAAGCTGGATAATATACACAGAGCTCCTTTTCTCATTCCAATTTCTGTTTCTACTTGAAATGCCTCAGCCTTTTTGTGATACAGAGAGGTAGAAACACATCGGTGAAGAGCTTAGTTGATAAATGCATGGGGGTCTTGCTGATGGCAGAGGCTTCTCCCTGCTGTAGTTCTGTCCACAGATGTTTGCTGCCTCCTTTCATTTCTCAGTATTGGCAAATCTGCTTTGGTGGAGCAGGCTGTGTCTAGTATCCTCTGCTTGGGTTTCCCTCTTCCTCCAGTCTGTCTGGACTTGCAGCATCGTCCAAACTCTTGTTTTTAGTCATCTTGTCTCTGTTTTCTGTTTTTATCCCCTGGGAAAGACCTAAAATAATGGCATTTGTTCTGACTTACAGATATGCTGTGAATTCTTCCATTTGTGTCTTTGCTGCACTTTTCCACTTTCTCCATGAGCCTTACTTTCCTTTACTTTTACTGAGCATGCTGCTGACCATCTGACCAACTGCAAAATAACTGCTCTAGGGTCTGTGTTAACTGAAGAGAGATGGGGCTCTCTAGTGCAAGGGCTGAGGACCCTGTTTCACAAGCACAGGGTGGGAATGTATTTTCACAATACCCTTCCTAGATGAAATCCATGTTGCAGTTTTAGAGATCTGGCTGCCTGCATTGTCTTTTTCTCTAAGCTACCTTAATAGACCAGGGATGGTCTGCTTGTCCCGCAGTGGTCAGGCAAGCAAGCCTCTGGTTATGATGGCCATTACTCTTGAAGGTTCTCCGAAAGAATCCTAGTGACATCTGAGAAAGCCCCAAGAAGAAACTCAAGACCACATCCTGAGCAACCACTGAAAGGGTGGGAACATTTCTGTGGCCTGAAGGAGAAGGCCTGGTCCAGGGCACATGGTGACCAGTGTTGACAAGCTAACTGAGCATGGTGGCACACACCTGTGATCCCAGCACTTCAGAGGCTGAGGTGGGAGTATTGCCACTAATTTGAGGCCAGCCTGGGCTACATAGTGAGTTTAAGGCCAGCCTGAACTATATAGCAAGATTCTGTCTCAGAAAAATAATGTTAACAATCTGGATGCCTGTTTTGTGGAAGGATGGGACCTGCCCAGGTGACCTTAATGACACAGATGTGTATTGCGATAGCAGCCAAGCTCAAGGGTGAGAGGTTTGATAGTCTGTGCTTTGCACCTCCTCTGCGCTTGCCGGCCTCCCTCTGTGTTATAATTCATGTGAGCATCTCTTTCCTCGGTCTAAATTGTGTTACTTGAGAGCAAGGACTGTGTTTATAAGAGTATTTGGTGGGCCAGGGATTTAGCTCAGTGGCTCCACCGCCTGCCTGGCAAGCGCAAGGACCCAAGTTCAATCCCCAGTACCAAAAACAAAACAAAACAAAACAAAACAAAAGAGAATTTGGTTCCTGTGTTTCCAAGAAAAGGCCTGGTGAGCCAAGGTTGTGCTTATGAATCCTCTGCTCTCACCCATTGCCCTGTTCCACGTCATCTTCTCGGCCTTCTCGTATCAGGCATGCCCCCTGAAGCCATCGTAGTATCTCTAACCTGCTGTGTTGTTTCCCTCCTTAAAACTCTGCTTTCTTTCCATTACCTCCAAGATCATATCTAGGCTCCTTGTCTGGCCCATCAGACTCTATGCCTTGGTTCCTACCCTTCTCTGCAGCCTCCTTTTGCCACCTGCATCATTCCAACACTGCCTATCTATTGAGATAGAATTCACACATCATAAAATTCACCATTCAAAACATATGGTGCAGTAGTTTTAGTTTATTTACAGAGCTATGCAACCATCACCCCAAAGAGAAACTCCATTTCCATTAGCAGTCATGTCCTATTCACATCACACCTCATCCCCAGCAAGTCCTAGGCAAACACTAGTCTATTTTCTTTCCATGGATTTGCCTATTCTAGATATTTTATATAAATGTAGTCACACATTACATGGTCATTTTGTCACTGGCTTGTTTGACTTAGCATAATGCTTTCAAGGTTACCCATGTTATAGCATATATTGGTTTTTAATTCCTTTTTATTTCTGGGTAACATTCTGTTATGTGGGTGGACCACATTTTACTTATCCCTTCATTCTTGATGGACTTTGGGATTATTTCCACTTTGGACCACTTGGAATAATACTGTTCTGAACATGTGTATGAGTATTTGTTTGAGTACCTATCTTCAGTTTTTTGTTTTTTGGGTTTTCTTTTTCTTTTTTTTTTTTTTTGGTACCAGGGATCGAACTCGGGTTCTTGTGCTTGTGAGGCAGGCGGCGGATCCACTGAGCTAAATCCCCAGCCTAATTTTCAGTTTTTAGGTATAGGCCAACCAGTATAATTGCTGAGTCATATAGTAATTCTATGTTTAACTTTTGGAGAAAATACTAACTTGATTTCTAAAACAGTTACATGTTTTTATGTTCCTACAAGCAAGTATTTCAGTGTCTCATCAACATTTATTACAGCCGTTCTAGGAAGTACAAAGTGATAGTTCCTTGAGTTTTGATTTGCATTTACCAGATAGCTAATGATGTTGAACATTTTTTCCTGTACTCATTGACCATTTGTGTATCTTCTCTGGAGAAATGTTTATTTAAATCCTTTGCCCATTTTCACTTGAATTATTTCTCTTTTTATTACTGACTTGTAAACATTATTATTTTTTTTTTTTTTTGGTACCAGGGATCGAACTCGGGTCTTTGCACTTGTGTAGCAGGCGGTGAAACCACTGAGCTAAATCCCCGGCCCCTTGTAAACATTCTTTATGTGTACTGGGATACTAGTCCCTTGTATCAGCTATATGATTTGCAAATAATTTTACTTATTCTCTCAATTTTTTTTTTACTTTCTTAATGGTATCTTTTCAGTAAAAGAGTATAATTTTGATGAAATCCAACTTACCTATTTTTCTTTTGTCACCTGTACTTTTAGTGTTATATCTAAGACATCATTGTCCAATCTTTTATTTTCTTCTAAGATTCTTACAGTTTTAGCTCATACATTTATGTCTTTGATCCATTTTGTGTTAATTTTTATCTGTGGTGTGAGGTTGTGATTCAGCTTTATCCCTTTGCATGTGGTTTTCCAGTTGTCCCAGCACCTTTTGTTAAAAAGACTCCTTGTATTGCTGTTTTCTTTCTTCTCTGCCTGAAACCCTCCCCTGTTCATTGCCTCTGTTACCCAAGTACTCCACCTCAGGATTTACCTCTTCTATGATGCCTTCCCTGATCATCCCCCTGTCTGGATACTAGAAACCTCTTAAAACCTTAATTCTAACTTTTGTCATATTTTGACTGTTTTTCTTCTCTACCCATCTTCCCAGCAGGATCTTGGGAGAGAGGGGTTATATGCTAAAGTTTTACATTTGTTAGTATGTATTCTGTATATTAAACTCCGGAGGGGAGGGAAGATATCACTTTAACCACAGTGTAATCTCTCATTATCTTTGAACTAATTGAAAATCCACAGTTAAGAGCAAACTCTTTGAGTACATTCAGTAATACATGTATTCTTTTGAGGTATAGGACTGATACTTCTGTTCAACTCTAAACTCTAAACAACTAAAGTAAACCTTTCCCTTCCCCTTCTTTCCAAAGGGTGGAATGTAAGTCCTTTCTTTTTCTTTTTTTTTTTTTTTTGGTACCGGGGATCAAACTCAGGACCTTGCACTTGTGAGGCAGGCGCGGTGCCACTGAGCTAATTGCCAGGCCCTAAGTCCTTTCATTTTAGACTGATGGGGCCCATTACCTAAGTTCACAGCTGGACCAATAACAACCCTTCACAGATGCCAATGCCCTGTCTTGATTAACTTCAGTGAGGACTCCTGACCAATCACTGACAAGAGGGGTGGGAATGTCCAGTGGGCGGGGTCAGCCTCTCAGGGCCCCATTTCCAGTATTGAAAAGGAAGACAGTACCTGAACCAAGCT